ACCCCTGAGTTAAACAAACCCTTCTCATTGCTATGAGCTGAAGGATAGTTGGTATATTCCAGTCTGCTCCTACCATTACCACTGAGCCTACTCTTTACCACTGATATCTGTGCTTCACCCACATTATTGTAAGTGCTTTTCTCCCCTTACTTTACTCAGTGTCCTCATCCTTTCCATGAACTCTTTGTTGTTTACTTAGCTGTTCGTAACCAAATGCTGTTCCCTTCAGAACAGAGATAATAAATGTGTCACCCTGTTACTCAGTATCTGAGAACTGGAATAGAGAACCATCTCTTTGCTTTCATTCAAACATACTGCATATCGGCTTCAGCTTTCATTCCCCATCTGTCCACTACCTTCATTTTCCTCCACCTATCTGTGAGCCGACTTCCTTATTCTCATGCACTATTCTTACAACTTTGCCAAATCAGTTTTCAGGTTTGCAGCCCGTTTGTTGCATGACTGCAGGAGCTGGTGTCACCAGCACTCTGTAGCTGACATCACCATCCTGCCTAAGCTGGTATAACCACTGTAAAAACCTATATAAATCTGTGAAGAGACAGCTGAACACTGTTTGAACTGAACACTCCTCTCAGAGAAAGACAACAGCAGCCACATTCATTGGAAAGCAATAAGTGATACTTTCACATCCACCTGTCTTCCTGCAGCCACCAACCCCGAGTCTGATAGACAGGGAGGCCAGTTCTCTCTGCAGAGGGCCTCCAAATACAATCCACTAGGTTTCATTCACTCAACACACAAATTCATGAAACTGGCAAAACTAATCTTACCTTCACATTAAGTTCACAGTGTAAAGATAGAGAATGTGAAACATTCACTCTCACAGACTCACAGGAGAGGAGAAGAAACAGACTATGACAACAGGCAGTATGATTTTGTTACCTTATCCCGTCCCTCCCGGCAGTTCTTTTCCAGAGAGGCAACCTGCCTCTCCAGCTTCTGGAGCTGACTCCTTTGCCTTGGCTTCTCCTCCACAGCTCCCTCCACACACTGAGCAAGCTTCTCATGGAGCACTTTTAACTCTGCCTTGAGCTCCACCACTTCTGTCACAGCCACACGGTACTTGCACTGCAAGATCTCCAGACTGGGAGTTTGGTATGAAAATACCAGACTTTTACTCTTCTCCTCTGCAGTTTCTCCTTCCTCCTCAGCCTCATCGTCTCTATCCAGCACCAGCAGACTTTCACAGTTGAGTTGAGAGGTGGGACTGCTACAAGCCTCCTGGCTGACCCTTCGATGAAGACAGCGGAGAGCAGAGACTTTCTGGCTCAGGCGGAGGGTCTTCTCGTGCTGCTCGGTTAGGGCCCCCTGGGTGTGCTGCAGCTGAGTCTGGGACTCCTGCAGGCTCGTCATCAGTGCTGCTTTCTCATGTTCAACCTGAAGAAGACAAGTGCATGATTAAGGAAAGCCGTACCCCGCGTGACTTAATAAACTGCAGTTTCTGAGGTTACAGTGATGTCAACATAATCGTTGTAAGAAAGTAAAAAGATAAGAAGAGGTGCAACCACAATCCCATTTCTGAAAAAAAAACTGAGAGGCTGTTTAAATGAAAATAAAAACACAACATTTAAATGGGAAGTAATTCAGTGACAGTAGCACAGATATCACAATCTGAACATCTTCTGGAAAAAATCGTTTTAATATCTAAACATATTAAAAGGGGAAAACCAAAGGTTACGCTGCTACTGATGTGAAGATGTGAATTAGAACCCGTTCAGGAAGAAACTGTTCTGAGCCTGTACTTGCCGCCAAGGCCGTGTATACTTATGTCCATGTTTGACACCATCATCATCTAAGCGACACCTAGAAATGTTTCCTTGTCTGCCACCAGAATGAGATTGTCCAGCACTAATTCAAACTAAAGTTCATCAGCAACTGTGCAAACAAACGCAGAAGCGGCAAGCTGCAACCTGGAAGCCACTGGCTGTTGGTGGCTAAAGCGTAGGTGGACGTTAGCTGTTAGCCTAGCCCTTATCTCACTGATATATTTCACATACATTCTTACTAACTGGGCTTCCTGGGGACCACAAGAACAATTTACTTTGAGAATCACACAGATGCACTGATTTCCAGTTTTCAGCCAGGAACAGTTAAACAGAAGACCAATTATGAACCGGTGTGTTTCATGCACATTTTGTGCACAGCAGCGAGCCACATGCTACACTGTTTGCATGTAAGTGAGTGAAGACATCAGTGCATCTCTAGTCATAACAGCAAAACAGGAATAATAGCCAGATATATTTCTTCTTAAAGCATTATTAGTTATGTCATCCAAAGAAAAGCTGATTTTTTTTGTTGTTGGTTTTTTGTACTTTTATTCAAAGTACATGCTACATTTTTCCTCAAAAGCTTATTTATCATCCTCACAGTTTTTAGTCATATTAAACAAACACTTTTTGTGCTCAGTTTATTCCCCCCGGGGTCAGTAAATCTCTCCAGCATGCTCTGGGTCTGCCACTTTTCTAGCCTAGAACGCCTCACCCATGAGATGCTCAGGAGGCATCCTGGTTCTCTCTATGAGGGGAAGTAGCAGCTCTACTCTAAGCTCCACACCCTACTTCAGAGGAAGCAAATTTCTGCTTATATCTATGATCTCATTCTTTCTATCTCCTGCTTCATTCACCCTTCACTCACGAACATCCTTAAATTCGTGCATTTTTGTGCTTTCCCGGTCTTGAACCACGGGCTCAAACTGGGAGGTGCTGATTCTCTTCACACTTGCTTCATACTCAGCTGCACAGCACTCCAGTGCAAGCTGGGGGCAGATGAACCCAACAGAACCATCATCTCCAAATAGCAGAGACGAGATCCTGAGACCACCAAACAGTCCACGGCTGCTCCTAAAAAGCCGATTCCTAAATGCCTTGAACAGAACTGGTGACGAAGCAGTCTGACTCACTGCTGGTAATGTGAAGCAGACTGGGTGCGGTTGTAGAAGTAAATTAATTTACTTTGACATAAACTATTACATTTATTAAACTGACTGTCTTCCTTAGTCTACATGTCAGGATGATATCATTGGAACTTACCGCTATCAGCTGCTGCTTGAGCTTCTGAATCTCTGTCAGGTTCATCTCAGTAAGTAGGTCTGATGTGGCGGCCCCCTCAGTTTTCAGACACTGCCTTCTGCACTCTCCATTAGCCCTGAGCGCTGAGCCCACAGCCGTCACTGGTCCTGAGCCACTCTGAAGGTGACCGTTACATCTGGCAGATTAGAGCAGAAAGTGTCTTGTCACAAGCTATAGTGTCAATAACAGTAAGAAGAAAAGTTTTAAAGCAACTTCATGTAAGCAACGACCTTTGAACACAAGCAGCTGTGGCCATTGACCAATTAGTAACTGCTGCACCCCCCCTTACTCTCCCATTTCTGCAGATTACAGTCTGAATGCACTGGGTCAAGGAGACAGGTGTGCCTGTGTTTGTAGGTGTGATATCCACCTTGTTGGCTCCTCTGTGTTTGGGGAGAGCAGAGTAGTTGGGGTAGCAGTTCCACTGGGCGGTGCTGAGGAGAATATTAGATTTGCACTCCCAGTGTAGGCCACATCACACATGCTGAGGTGGTGAACAAGTTCTCTTCGCAGGTGGTTCTTCTGCTCGCGCTCACTCTTCAGAGACTCCAGCGCCTCCTCCAGCTGGGCGTCTGAGATGTCCTTCAAACGCAGTGCATCCTGTAACTGGCTGGTCAGCAGCTCTGTCTCCTCCTCCAGAACTTTGATCTCATGTTTCAGGCCTTCATACTCCACCTGAACAAGAGTGGACATTCACACTCAAACGTATGAACCTTTATTTTGAGTTACTGCTACATTGTTTAGGTGATTAATATATATTAAAATCAAAATTGCTTTGAAATGTTTGTAAACACAATATATATTTATTCTAAACTTTATGCATATATTTTGTGCAATTGCAAACCTAAATACTTCAGCTTTACATACTTAAGCTTAGATAGGCATGTTGATGCCCAGAGTGACAAGTAGGTCCAACTTTGTAAAAAACACATTCCTCCTGCTGCTGGTATCACTCACCAGGCTAAGCAGGTTTTGTTACTGTGGTCACATGCCACAGTAGATTGAGGGCTGCTGATGCTAACAGACTCAATAAACTGATCTGCAAGGCCAGCAATGTTGTGGGGATGGAGCTGGACTCTCTTAAGGTGGTGTCGGAGAGGCGAATGTTGTCCAAGATAAAGCCAATGTTGGATAATTCCTCCCACCCACTCCATGACATGCTGGCTAGCCACAGGAGCACGTTCAGTGAGAGACTGAGATTACCAAAAAGCACCACTGAACGACACAGGAAGTCATTCCTGCCTGTGGCCATCTCCCTGTACAACTCATCCACCTAACACACTGTATACTGCAATAGCTACACCCTTTTTGCACATGCTCTTCTTTCTTATTTAGATATTAATCAGTAAGTGACTTATATGTATGTATATATTGTGCTATTTCTTACTTCCTGTATTGTCTGTTATTCTTACTGTTTGGACTGGAGCACTATAACCAACATAAATCCCCTAGGGATCAATAAAGTATTCTGAACATCTTCTCCTTGACAGTTCACAAATAAAGCCAAACCCCCACCTTTTGTTTTGCCAGTAGCTATCTCCCCATATGTGGGTGAAACCAGGCAGATCCACATTGGTCTCGGATGTACTGATTCAACCATGTTTCAGAAAAACATGAGTGAGCACTGACGGTATATGTGGTCGGGCGTGGCCTGCGGTGCCGTGCAGCGAGGGTGGACGCACCTGCACGGCATCCTTAATCAAGCCCACCGAGTTAAAACACAGGGACTCGGGGGTTGGTGGGAGTTGTGGTGTGATGTGATTTAAATAAAATGGCTCAAAACTATGATCCCTGGACCCGCCGCGTCTCATTTACACCACAGTATACTTTCTGAGTTTTCACCAATATCTCTAGCTTATCACTTTTGTTGGGCAGAGCTGACATTTCTCATTATGACTGCTGCCAGAGAGGGTCTCTATCTCTGATTCCAATCCTTCACCTTTGCACCAGCACAGCAAACACAAAAACACCTCTTGTTACAGGCCCTGGCCTTGGAAGAAGGGAACCAGCCTCCTGTCAAGCAAATTAAAGCATGGTAACCCACACAGATGGTTTGCTGTTGGAACCTGTGGAAGTCTATTGAACCAGCTGAGGGACGCCGGACCAGTCAGCGACTGATTGGGCACAGGATGGTATCTTCTAGATTTGCTCCGTTTCAATGAAAGAGAAAATCATTGAATTGAATTTCATCAGCATAACAGTGATGGGAAATGTCCTCGAAGGGGCTCAATATATGTTGGAGGGGAAGAAGATATATTAAAAACAATAAAGGCCCCAAAACCGAACCTTGAGGGACACCGTAAGTAAGGGAGGTAGAGGATGACCTGAAATCAGAGACTGCCACAGAAAAAAAAATTGGTGATGTAAATATGAGGAGAACCACTCCTAGTCATTTAACACTGAACAGGTAGAAAAACCAACCGTAGTGACTGACTGATTGAAGATTCTCCATAATACAATGTAGTGAATCCACAGACATTGGCCTGACAGTGGATGAATACTGAAATGCTGCACATGCTCAGCGTCTGACTAATCTTAATGTCTTACCTGTCAAACTGGAAGTTCCACAGGAAAGTGAAATGAATCGGAGATTATGAAGAAATCTCACCTTCACCCATATTCTAAATCACTTTGTGTGCTTCATTTCTTTTATATCCATATCTTTGGATTGTGAGAAAATACTAGATGACAAGGAGAAAATCTACAGACGCAGAAAGGCCCCGGAAGTTTTTGGACCCAGGACCACCCTCCACCTGTTTGCTCTAACCTCACCACATATTGTCATCTGCGTGGGCATACCTGGTATATAGCTTTGACAGGCTTCTGACTCCCCTGCAATTGTTGCTGGTTAAGTGGGTAAGAACACTGACTAATGGATGGATTCTCTGAGTTCATTCAGAAAAGAAGTATACAGAAAGACAGAGGGCTGTGAGCAGCAGCTAGGGACATATAAGGGTAATCTTTTCTTTGTGCTAGATGAATTGTGCTTCTTTAACTAACTAACTAAGTACACCTTTGATTGACAGCTGAGCCAGCAGGGAATATACATAACTGTCTGGTAACTGTAGCTAATAAGTCAAAGACAGCGCTAAAGTCTAATGACCTTCAGCATCATACATCCACTTTGAAACAGTTTCACGACGTTACTTGAGCACTGTCTGTACCTGACTCTGTTTAAGGGTTGACACCAGTTTCTGCAGAGAGATGTTCTCCTCCTCCAGCTCGGTGTAGTCCTGGAGAAGCCGTGACTCTCTGAATTTGTATTCTCTGATCTCTTCTCGCATTCGGGTCCGCTGTAGCTCCAACATCTCATTGCTCTGCTAAGACAGCACAGAATGAGAGCTGGAGCTGCTTATGACACAGTTCTCACAAAGGAAGGTAATGTAACCAGTATTTAGAGTTTGCAGGATGAAATTTTTAAAAGAGGGAAGGTGAAGGATGGATTACAGTATATCTCCACACAAAACCATGAAAAACTGACATAAAAAAAATGGAGAATGAAGCTCATATACAGTCGTGGTCAAA